GCCGATTTGACTTTATTCCTTCTGTCAGCTTGCACAAGTCCCAGTGTAGAAAAAGCTCAGATGCTCTCGGTGAACAGCGAGGGCTGACGGACGGCTGCTGCTCTGCAGGGCTGCGCAGGGAAAGACCCTGGCCAGAGAGCGCTGCAGCCTGCTGCAATCCACCCACCCCTCTGCTCTGGAAGAGCCCTGCCAGGTTAACGTCCTCCCAGGCCTGCCCTCAAGCCCATAAGCAGGGAGCTCCCGCATGAACGATGCCCTTCCACAGCAAGGTCTCTTTCCAAGTAAAAACGACAAGATGAAGCTGCAAGGAAGCCCCCCTTCTTTAAAACACCAAGCAGGAAAGAAAGAGATCCTCGCAAAGCTCAGTCAGGGCATGGGCTGCTGTTGGGAATCCCAGCTGCTAGTTTCTCTCACCTTTGCCTCCTGCATATGGTAAATAGATTTGCCACTTAAATATTCATTTAGAGTAAGGCCCCAAGCTCATTTACAATGCATAATGACTACAAATCTCTGCTAGATGATGCATTTAAAGTCCCTATGTTATAACAGGGCAAGAGTAAGCCCCTCCTCCACATCCCTTTGGAGCCAAAGGGACAAGGTGCTGCCCATAGTCTGGCAGGAAGGTACAGAAGGGTGATCCACTGCAAGCTGCCCCCACCAGTCACCCTGCTGGTGCAGTGACAAATCTCTATGTCACGTCGTGCAACCACAGGTGGGAACAGCAGTGCTCTGCCACTGCCTTGCATGTTCAGGCTGTAGTGAAGACTGACATAATTTGGCAGTTCTATCAAAGAGGATTCGCATTTAGACCCCCCCCACACACCCCTTTGGCCTTCCCCAGCCTAAACAAACCCAGCTGCAATTTCTCCCATACAGATCTCCCAGCTCATCAACCTGCAGCCTCTGCGCCGTGCAGGTGTTTCCAGCCACAGCAGCTGTGGTGGCCTCAGACCCTGCATGTTAAAGGACTCCAAGTGAGCAACTAGACTGAGAAGGAGAGAGAGGAGGAAAAAAACCAGTAACAACATGGCTCAGCCTCACGCCCTTACACGAGCGATGTCTGCTAGGGCAGGGAGGCAGGGACCACGGGCGCTGCAGGAACCTCTCTGAAACATGGATGTGCTGCACCATGCTGCAGGGGGAAGTCTGCTGTTTTGTTCTCTTAAGGGCCAGAAACTCCCTTTGTGTAGCAGAATCCTACACCAAAATTCAATATTGCCAAATAAAAATTGCTCTTAACTATCAAGTAATTTTATTTTTGCTCTGATGCTTAATTACCCCCTATAGTCCACAAATCTCTCCCCATTGCTTCAGCCTGCAGCCTCCACAATAGCTATGAAGCAAACAGCAATTATACATGTATTTCAACAATATTAATGCAACCTGAGTGGGCTCCGTCTGTGCACTACTGCATGCTGCCTAGCAGCAAAATATAAAGGACAGTCTGAACTGGTAATAGGCTCCTTGCTCTCTGCTGCTCTCCACATCAGCACGGTTGATAAGAATGCAAGACAAAGCTACACCTAATTAACATACATGAATTTTAACCAGGAATCCATTCCCATATATCAGAAAATAAGCTCTGGACAGCTTGTGCCCCCCATGGCTTGCTGGCAGTTTCTTTGGTAAGATAAGGCAATACACCAACACTTCAACTCATTTGTTCGGGTGAAAAAACAGGAACAGAGTGCCAGGACATCTCTGCAGGGCCTGAGGCTTTAGGCTGTGCTTGATCTCAGGTGCTTTAGATGACAAGCTCCAAGGTAAATATTTTTGACCAACCTGCCTGGTCTCACACCTGTGATTCCTACTCTAAGTAGCTGAAGGCTTGGCGAAGCAAAGAACAGAAATTGCACACAGCAGGGACCAGGCACTAGGCAAAACACATTAGGCAGAATCAGAGGGTAAGGACTCGCAACAACCACCTTAAGGGAAAAAGGGACAGGCTGCAGCAGTGCTGGCGCGTGGCTGTGAGACAAAGCAAGCCTGTTCCTGCTCGAGTGCCAGGTTAGCTCTCACTAGCAGAGGATGCACTTGGCTCCCCTAAAGAAGCAGGGGACTCTTCTCCCTTGCGTTAGGGATTAGTTAGCATTTAATAGTCCAGAGAATGGGGAGAACACAAGCAAACTCTCCCAAAGACTACAGCCTGGCAGATTCTGGGAGCAGAGAAGCCCCTGTGGCCATTTAGACACTCCTGCACCAAACTCAGGACTTGCCTTGTCTTCCTGGCACTTTCCCTTCCTAGTCGGCATCCTTCAAGGCACAGCAGCAGTAATAAGGTAGTTCTGTAAATACTGAGTACCACTGAGGAAAGAGACCCATTTTCCCCAGGTTCCCAGAAAAGAATGCAAACTGGTATCAGTGCCATGAAAAAGCAATTGATACATCCCATTTATTGCAGAATAAACATCAACCCAGTTGCACAGGTCTAGTTTACAACCTATTTAATAACCTGGGATTTGAAAACCTACTTTATGCAAAAAATAATTTCAAGTTTCATTTTACAGTAAAACAACTAGTTGCACTAACTTACATAAACATCTGAGCTCATGCCACTACAGCCCATCCCTCTCTTACCTCTGTGTCATTAGATCGGAGCACAGCATTTGCCTCAACAGAGGGGCAATTTCCCATCTGGTGAGCAAATAGAACAAACTAGCACTTAGTCCTGCCCCCTTGTCTGCTTCACCTCTTCACAAATGTAGTCAAACATTGCACTGAACTATAAATTAGCAACTGATATGCAAGTAAATATAAAAATCCAATTGTACAACTGGACAAAAACAGTTTCTCAAAGAACATGTGAAGCAGAAAACAATTGCCAAGTGTCCTGGGTTTGGAAACAGTAACTTTTATTTAAAAAAAAAAAAAGTCCCCAGAAATCTTGAATGAAGGTATTCATTTCTAAAGGAAAGTCTCTTTACCATAGGGGGGTAGCAAGGAAGAGAAAGGATAGAAAGAAGACAAACCCCAAACCTTGGCAGATTTTACTATCAATTTCCAATTAGTTTAGATGCTCTCTCCCAAACAAGGGAGTGTGGGCTTTGCCACCTTCTTACAACTACTTTTCCACAGGACAGCCCTCAAGTCCCCCTTAGCAGCTTACCTGAGTAAATCGCATCCCAGGAAGCCTCCGGAACAGCTCACTAGCAGCAATCCCAAATTTCAGTTCTGTTCTACCCTCTCTTCTCAGAAACAGGGGTGCCAGTGTATTTCAATTCCACCTCAGGTGAATGACGGAGCTCCAAAGCATCAGGCTCTTCTACCAGCTGCTCCATCTAATCCACTGACCCCGCTAACTCTCTTAGCAAGCCAGTTATTCTCAACACCTGAAGGTTATATCAATTTGCATTAAATGAGCTGCTGTTCAGCAAGTAAATCGTTAGCATGGCCACATCCAGATCCGGTGGGGGAGGGGAGGAAAACTAACTGTTACATGCTCTCTCATAATTTTGTTTTAGCACCTAGATACTAAAGAATGTTAGTGCTTTAAGATAATTCAGAGACTTTTTTTCATCTATTGTACACAGAGAAAAAAGTTACAGAATGAATAAGACTGATAACTAAGAATTAATCTCAGGCTGCCCTAATTATTAACAACTCATGCTTTTACTAGAGACCTCTCTGCCTTACTGGTAGGCACAGCAAGTTTTATTGATAAGGAACTTTGTTTCACATTTGGTGCATCTACAATTGTTTGGGATTGAAGCTTTCTAATTGATAGAACAAGTTTCTTTAGTCTTTAGTACACTTAGCCTCAAAACTTTGATGTGTGTTACCTGTAGTGCTGCCATGTGTAAAAAAAAATTTCTTTATGATGAGGGGCCGAATGTCAATGGTAATTTATTAAAATTGTTTTGTTCATCTAATTTTCAGGTTCAATTAAAATCCTTGCTTTCTCTACCATTTCCCAGAGCCTAAGTTCAACTCTTACTCTGTGAATTCTCTTTTGGGTCCACAAGCCTCGCTTTTCTTGTCTCCAGGAGAAGTTCTTCTCAGAAGCACTGTTCACAAAACTCCCAGACTCCCAGGGCAACTTAAAGGAGCGTGGATGAAGTTCACTGAACCTGGTCATCAGTTAAGCAGCGTTCCTGCTGGAAGGAGCTTCCCTTTCTGGAAGGCTTCATTTTTAAAGGGAAGTCAGAACAAGCCATGGAGTGAATGCAAAGCTCCAAGGCATCCAAAGCCAGATAAAACACGCCAAACAGCAAAGCTACGTTTTCAATCAAATCCTGTGGAAGCTGAAATCTGAATAAGTAATCCTCAACTGGATTCTCAAAATAATTGAGCTTTTCATTCAAAACTTAAGATCAGATGCAGATCACGACAAAAGTTCACACACAGCTCTTTATTAGAAAGTTGCCAGAGACATAATCATTCCCAAGGAAGAACGACAGCATCCCAGGTGTTATACCTGCTAACAATTATCTAGCAGGAGCTCGTACCTTACTTGCTAGAAAGGACAACTCTTGTGTCCAGATGAGAGGGACAATTTCACAATGGCAGCTGCAAGACAGACTTGTTTGGCCTTTGCTTCTCATCTAAGAGGCAGCATTTAGCCCTCATAGCTTTAATCTTCTGAAAGGTAGATTAAAAAAAGCCAATGTGGGCTCCAGAGATAAGAGGAATGTCAGCCTGAAGGTGAGGCTGCGTTGAGCAGCCTTGACAGTTATGAAACAGGCTCACATAGAAGAAAACAGTGATGTATGTCAAACTGAGGAAATGCTTCCAGCACTCATGCTACCAGCAGCAAGCCCCAGTTAGGCTACGTTTGCCTCCTTTGCAACTGCAAGACACTTGATAACACATCTGCTTATCATGCTGATAGAAGTTACAGTTGTGCCTCCAGCTCTGAAATTCTAATTTACATTTACGAAATCTCCTCCAGCAAGTCTCCATCCCCTCCCCCCACCGCAGGAGGTTAGACTCCAGGAATATGGTCATACACGTCTCAACGCAGAGACCGAATGACTGATTCACACAAGAGCTGGACAATTAAGTAAAATACATGCCAACTTCATTTTATTTGAGTATTCCAGTATTTACAGACATACGCTATATAACTTTCTAAGTCAACCTAGCAGCATTAGAGCCCCAAACTATTCTCTGAACTCAGCTACAATTTTTTTTAAAAGCAACTTTATGAAAACAGTTTCTTTTTCTGCTCTGAAAGTACAAAAATATTTATGAAGTTGAATTACTTGGTAACAGAAAGAAGCAGTATATTTTATTCCATAAAAAGCAATATTTTTTCTGTGGCCTTATTTTGCAGGCAGGGACTATTAGAAACAATTTTTTTAGGGCTTATTATAGGTCACCGGGATACTAAATTGCATCTGTTTAGTATCCCTTCATAGGTGCCATATACACTTTCCAGAATTAAAACTGACACAATATTGGTTTAGACTTGTGGTTTTAAGAATTGGTTTACACCGAGAATCAAGTGTTGGCTTTTCAGGGAACTCACAGATGATGTTTCTAGTTAGAACATGAAGGCACTTTTGCATACAATAGTTTCGACAGGAGAGCTCTTGGTATAGTTTCCAAAACAGCTGTAATCCATGGCCTAAAATTAACTAGGTTGATGCATTACTGATCAGAAAATTATATTTCATTGTGTTGCTATACACTCATCCTTTTACAGGGTATGTATTTATGCAAACAAAAATATGGATGTTACTCAGGGGTGCAAGTACCTTTTGATTCAAGTCCTGAACCCCATGTAACTAAGTGACTGCTTCCAAAATGTCATCAAGTATATAAATGGGAACTAGCTGGAACAGTAAATAATGCATCACCATTTGTCTGAGGAGGCCCCACTCTAAATTTTCTAGTTAGTTTCTGATTTCTTTTGATTTGTATCAGATGAGTTTAAGGACTATTTTGAAATTAGAAATGTTTATCTTTTACGAAGAGTAGGTAATTCCATCTCTGTATAGTAATGCTTCTTAAGTAATTTTATTGTTAGTTGTTTTACTCCAAAACAAGAACATGACTCAAAGACAATCTCTGCATAAGTTACTTAATTCTTAGTCCTTAAAACCAGAACCAAAGTACCAGCATTGACGAGAATTTCTGAACAATGGCAAAAGAACTGCAGATCACCCTTAGGACAAAAGGTAAGCATCGAACTCCTGGCGCTCATAGCAAGCAACACTGTCTAATACCCACTCTCGAGTCACCACAGCAACATTGCTCTTTTGCTGGATCACTGCAAGACAAAGACATAGATCATAAAACTAGTATCAGTGAGTCAAAGCAACTTTAAGGTGAGCATACTGATGTCTTCCAGATTAAGCCATTTGCTTTATCTTTCACATTTTCAAGACCCTGATAAAAAGCAAGATTCTAAAAACCCTATACTTCTTAACAGTGCAGGTAATATAGCTGCTCCACAGAGAAATGGCTGTTTGGCAAGCGGGCAGCAGGAAGTTCTGAACGCCATAGTATAAGCACTAAAAGCTAAGAGTGCAGTCTTTGGTATGTTTTAATTCAGGATCTTGGTGACAGAGCCTTAGTTCCTGTCTGCTCAGGCATATGAGTATATATATATATAGAGAGAGAGAGAGAGAGAGAGAGAGAATGGGGGAAACATATAGAGTATGTGACAAGCAATGACTGAGAGAGAAGCAATAGAATATTACTGAAGTGCTCCTAGACAATATGCCTATCATAGTTTTAAGAAAAGGAGGGGGAGGGGGAAAAAAAATTTGGCCTCTTGCCAAATTAATACTCAATAGTTAAACCCATTGGAAACTCAGGTTTTTTTCTTTCCTCTTTTTCCCAGTGCCATGGAAACAGCTTTTTATTTGCAACATTATCTTCCTGCCCCATTTTTTCTGTTCAACTCCACTGTAGCCTAATAACCACATTTCCTCTGTCTCATTGAAAAGTAAGTTAGTGTGGAAAACTTGAACTTTCAGTCTCATTGTTTCTCTAGATCAATTTGATTCCATGAAGAGGGGGGAAAAAAAAAGTATTAATTAACCCCACATAGTTGGATCTTCTTTCCTGACCAAGAGAATATTGTTCCAATGCACCACGTGAGGCTTTCTGCTACATCTTACTAGTCCTCCACGGGCGTGTCTCTCCACCTTCTAAAAACTAGCTGCAACCAGAACACTTTCTGTTAAGCTGACCCTAAGTATATGCAGAACATCTGAGCCAAGAGCATATGGGCAGTAGGATCACATTTACATCTCTCATAACAAGTTGCAATACTGCCTGAAAGACCACCTTTCAGGACTCATCATTGACTCTTGAGATAAAACAGTTTGTACTTTCTTCCAAGGCATACCTCCACCCTCAGATGTAGTGGGATTTTATTCTGATTCCACTATAGAACCTCTCCGATATTTAAGCACTACAAATACAGAAGTGATAAATCATTCAACATGTGTGCCGTAAAACAGTACACGACTGTACGTATTTTTACCTCGATAGCCTCTATTTTCCATCCAAGCATCTGGCTGCACAACCACGACAGCAGTAGAATTCTAAGATTTCAAGAGAAGAAAATAAAAACGCTGTTATCTGCTTCACATTAAATCACTCTCCCACCTATATGCAGAGCTGTAACTGGGTTGACTCTTTGCTTCACTGCATCACTTCAAAGAGGACTTTAAGAAGTGGTGGTAGGGGGAGAAAGACATCATCAGTTTAAGATTTTTCTTCAAAGTCTGTCCAGGAACGCTGTGTTAAGGCCCTAAAGGCTTTTTGCCCTGGAAACTGGAGCTCAGGGCTGATTTCAAGGAAATTAGTTATGTGACTTCCACAGAGTACTCTGATCAGTTCTCCACTAAAAGCTAGCCTGTCTCTTAATACACAGTAGCCAGAGACTAGAACAGAAGAACTGCTGTCAGGCGATGTGGCATCACTGCTGTGCAAACAGCTCTCTCTCAACATACCTGACCTGTATGCACCAGTCTTTGCCCATGAAGGCCAAGTAATCTTTCAACATGTTGGGTATTATGGATAGTGAACGGTCTACAGTTAAGTGTAACATTCATTAACACTTACTATTTTGTGTGTGAACAGATGAAGTTGCTTCACTACAGAGGCACCACAAAGCTCCACCATCCATTCTAGATGTTCTGAACAAATCAGATAAACAGACTGTTACTACAGTATTTATATTACTTTCAAACTGAAACTGTTCTCTAAGCCCTGGTCATCCATGCCTTTGTTCCAAAATATAAACTATATCATCTGAAATAAATGTAAGCCTTAGTTGAGAATAAGTCCTTTCACTTTATAGCTTGTTGAGGACATCAGTTACGTTGAACTTCAGCAAGGGTAACAGTATCACGAAGGGATTGTCATGTGCAGCAGGTAAAGGAAGATGCAATGGAATTCCAAGTCCCAGATACTTCTGTGAAGTACTTCCCTCACCCTTTAGTCAGGACAACCCCTCCCCCCCAAACTAAAAGGGAAAGTCACTAAAAATGTATTTCCTCTTAAGGGTGTAAGGCATGAAATTAAAATTGGAATCACAAGTTAAAACTATGATTATCTCTCATTAACAAAAGTAGCCAAATTATTTAATTTCCATCATTTTGTTGAACTGATAGTGAAGAAAGCAAGTCAGTCTCTTAAGTAGAAGAGCCATAATTGATCATCACTGCAGCAGGTGAAAGCACTGCATCCTCTGTAGTAATTATTGTAAATGTCAAGAGATGTGGGATAATTCACCCAGCTAAAAATGAAATTACATTGAACAAATCAGACAGTATCTGTTGTACAAAAAAGAATAAAGCAAAAAAAGGAAAGAGAGGTACAAATATATTTAAATAAAAAAAATCTAGTTTAAATTTTCAAAACATCTACTCTTTATTCACTTTTAAACGAGAGGAAAAAAAAAAGCTATCCTGCTCAGCTTTCCCCTTGTACAAAAACTGCTGGTTTTGTTGTGTGTTTCACTTTTATACACCTGCTGCTAGAGAGAGATTACCCACAGGATGTGTCAATTGCTAGAAAGAATACTCTAGGAATTGGTTACTAAGACAGAAAAAACCCTCCAAACACTATGCTGTGTTCAATAGCATCTAAAACAATTACTAGACATCATGGTACTAATGTATTTTTCTTCATTGCTAGAGAATTAGAGTTAAATTAGATAAAAGGTCTGTTTTAAAAAAACATTAAATTGACAGAGCAATTCTCTGATTAACTCAAATAAATCAGAATTGGCAAAATTTCCCACTAAATTTTAGTAAAAGCATCAGTGTCTTCAAAAAGGGGAAAAAAAAAAAAAAAGGTACATCTGCTGAGGACATCCAAATAAGAGAATATCACTGCTACTTAAGGGAGATAGAACCGGATAAAGCTGTACCTCATGTAGGCGTTTTGAAAGTTTTGGGGTAAAAGAGGTACAAGACTACCCAAGAAAAGGTCAAATGCAAAAGTCTGGAGAATGCACACAATTCCAATCTGAATATTTGTCATGCTGAGAGTTTATTCAGTTCCACCAAAATGACACACCTGTAGTCATATCAGTGAAAGGTCCATAGCAGCAGATCTCAAAGTCTTTAAAGATCTAAAAAAGAAAGAGATGTTAACAGAGTACATATAGTACCTTTCCAGGACAACATTTAACATGCTGGTGCATTGCACCTCTAGGACTGGTTATCAAGCTATCATTGTTGATTCACAAAACATATCTGAAGCTGTTTGTTACCTACAAAACAAAAGAATTTTGCCAACCTCCCTACCCCCAGCCAGTGGTGTCCTATACCAATGTTATAAAAAGATATAATTTACTCTAAGCATAGAGTGTCACTTAAGCATTTTTAACCATGAAGGATGAGCTCTGTCAGCTCTGTACATATGGTGCAGCAGAGGAATCAGTAGAATTTCCAGAAATTCAGCTAGCATAGCCTCATACCTGAAACACTTAAGACAGGACAGGATTTTCCTCCATGATATGCTCATACCTTTTCAGTAAGAGATTGTCTAGCCCTCTTTGGACCTTGGTGGTTTCTTCCATTGATCACGTCTCCTCTAACTTCAAAGTTATCCTGGAACGTAATAGAAACAATCAGAAGCTAGAGGCCGAGAAAACTGTCCTAGTCAGAGCCCTGAATCAGAACAGAAATAAGCTGTTAGATTTCAGAACTGGAAACATTACAATTAAACACGCATGGGAAAATAATCAAAAGGCTTTTCAAGAAAAATCATGGAGTACAGTAACCACACTCCTGCAGCATTGGTCAATTTTTTGAAGAAAGAAGTTATAGTCAATGCAGCAGACTGTCTAAAAGAAGTGGCATGCTCCAGGACCAAAATTAATTTATAAAGTGTCATTTGATAGAAATTAAGTATCAATACATAACCTCTAGAACTTCATTTATTTAATTTTCAACATCTACTATACTTCAAGGGATTCACTCACCATATAGATAACAACAAATACATTGTTACATTTGATAATTACATACCTACATCTGTCTCAGTCAACTCCTTATTCTCCACTACTTTCTTGAAAGCTCCCCTAAAACTTTCATGCAGTCTAATCTTCTATAAGATTATAAAAAGCAGCAGCATATTTTCAGTTTAGCTTGAAAATAAAGTTTTTGTTTTCATTATACTAGAGTGCTCTCCTCAATGCTTAAAAGTAATATGGGAGTACTCTGCAAGACAACACAAACAGCTGTCCCATAGTCTAGTATTTGCAGTCAACTCTGTCACAACTGCCCCCTTTCTCCCCAAGCACGAGAGCGCCTTCAATACTTAATATAGCTTTGTTACAACTTAATTCCTTTAGGCAGACAATGGACTTTTTCCTCTATGTTGTAACCTGTCCACATCAGTAGGAACACTTTTTGAAAAATATGTCCATAAGCTGTGCCAAAAATAAAGGGGAAATATTATGTCTTCAGTAACACTGAACTACAGCTTTTGGTCCTAGCATTTGGTAAAACTAGAATCTCAGTTTTCACAGATGAATTTCTAACTAGCACAAACACCTCCCAGCTGCCATGTATTAAATATTTAGACAGTGCCTGAGATTAATAGGTCCCTCACTGTAACAACACCTTTTACACATTTGACATTTGACTCTTAAGATAAAATACCTACCTCATCAAGAATCCGTCCTTCTTTAAAAGACTGAATTACCCCTTAAAAAAAAGATCAGAACAGTAAAAGTCATTTTCTCCAGCAAAATTTTCTTCCACTGCCAAGAGTCTAGTTTCACTGCCATATTAAATTCAAGGTATTTTGTACTAAGGGAAACAATTTATTGAACTGAATATTCTATGATGCCTGAAAGTACTTGATTTTTTTTTTTTTAATCTTTCATAAATAATACTAATCTTGCATTAACCAATGCCATGCAGCTCAAATGTGTATATTAGGAGTGGGAAAGGAACAACCAAATACAATTATTTGAAAGCAGAAAAAGTATTCAGAGGAGAAAGAAGCTTGATGTTGCTGTTAAATTTTTAAGTATTTATAGAGGAAACGCTGCAAAACATCACATGACAGCAGCATATTCAAGACATGAAAAGACACATTGTTGTTTTTTCTGGAACAAGCGAAGAGCACGTTTTTGGAGCAAAATGGTCTCAGCCCTTCCACCATAAAGTTATACTTACACTGATAACTAACCACCCATTTTCTTCCTGCAATACCCAGAAAATACTTCAATGTCCGTTCACACACCAGCTCCGTATCTGCAGAGCAAACAAGTATATGGAGATCTCTTTCAGTTTTGCCATTAATAAAGAACTGCTCAGCTGATTCATACCTAAGCCCAAGTTAAGTGCAGCAACCAAATACCCAGGCCATCTATGGAAAGGCTGAGAAATTCTAGTGTTACCTAACATTCCCCTCCCAAGTCTGCTAAATGGAAGAAGTAAGCAGAAACTAATGACACGTACAACTTCTGGACCCTTTTCTAGTTATTCAACAAAGATAAGCAAGGAAAGGTATCAAACCTAATCAAGATACAGGACACTAAGGGGAGGATTAAACGTGCCTAATGTTAGCGTAAACTTTTAGATGACTAGTCATCTAAACTTCTCTTCTAACAGGAGAGGCACAACTTCAGAAGGCAATTGATCCTGTCTGTATTTGTATGAAGATAGCACGATCTATCTCTCTAAAACATATGAACATGGTGTTTTTGATAGGCTTCTTAAAGAAAAAGACAAAAATTGAATCCATAGATTCAGAGTGAGAAGATTTTCTGGCTCCCTTTCTACTTTGGTTTTCAAAAGCAAAAAAGGCTTGCGTGATAGATCATATTCAAACATGCACCATCTAGAAGTGCTTCTATAAGCAAGATGCAAGCAGAGTATAGCACATCCACTCCCAGACTTGGCTCAAAATATTTTACTTAAAAAAAAAAAACAAAAAAAAAACACCACACACACACTTTTGTTCAAAAGCTAATGATACATTCAATAATGAGCTTAAATATAACCTATGCTTAGACAGATCAACTCCGTAATGTACTGAGAAACGTTAGGCTTTTTTGAAGCCTAGTCAGTATAGCGCTATTCATTTAGGAATATGATACGTTTGTCAAATCCAAAACAAGAGTATTATACTTTAGTTTCTATAAAGTTTCTTCAAACTTTTAACAACAGGATTCGTGAATCCTAAAAAGAACACAAAACAATTTCAGTGTCTTAAACATGCAACTAATTATTACAGTGAAATTGTAGTGCTGCTTTGTTTCTATGGAAGCATACCTTCTCTATCAGCTACCATCAGAAGTACACATACAATTAAGCCCCATTTTTATCTTCTATTACAGACCATTGTTTCTTTTCAAAATTTAGAATAAAATGGCATTTACAATCCCCGCAATGGGTTAGGAACCTAAGGCAGCATTTTATTTTCAGAATGTCTGTATCCTATTTCTTTAGGAACTGTCTTCTTTTCCTTCTGGTTCTTTCTGAAGGACTTGACATTAACTTGCTGTTAACACCTGAAAACTGTGATCAAACAGCTGGAGAAATAATCATTACTTAAAGTTAACTTCAAGCCACACAAGGAAGCAAAACACACATTCACCCTGATTCTGTGAAATGGAATGAGATTTGTGTTCCCAAGTTTATCAGGATTTTTTGTTTAAAGAAGAAAAACAATGAATCCCTTCTCCTCCTCAGACTATTTAAACTGTATTGCTGAACTGACTGTTTGTTGGTTAGCGCAGAGTTAATATTTTATATGGCCTGTAAATATGGGGTTTGTTCACATATCTCCCAACACACCTGTTTTCATTATGACATGGGTTGTTCCTTCAGTAATGTGATTAGATAAAGTGCTCCGAGTTTTTCTGGCAAACTTCTGGACCATCAACTGAAAAGCAAAATTAATAGGTAGCAAAACAGATTTAAAAAAATTTCAATTATGAGAGTATAACATAATAAGGTAGTTATGTTAAAATAATGGTCTTATTTGTGGCTGGCACATAGAATGTACATTTCTGTTACAGATACAGTAAAAGTCACTAATTTTGATGGCCTTCAACAGGCCAACATAAAGAATAGCTCTCATTAGTCAACAGTGTAAGAACCAAAAGAAGTCATACTCTCCTGGAAATGCATCTTAGAAACAGGTTCAAGCTACTGATGGTCACAGAACACGAAAATATGAAAGATCAGCAGACTGTCTACATGAAGCTTGAAATTAAGACACTTACTGCTGATAACTGGATGGTCTTTTCTTGGCAACAAATAAAATTAACAGTCAGATAGCAAAGACATTAACCATGCATCTCATTGGTCCAGCACCATTTACCAACCAGTATCAAGTGATTACAACTTCCTTAGTGGAAGTCATTTGGGGCCAACTAATAAAACTAGTACTAAAGTTTCTACCATATAGAATATACTATAACCAAACCGTTTTATTCTCATGTTGCTTTATGCAGAAGGCCAGATGATTCCAGAAATACTAAGCTACCATGGCTAATGATATACGCTACCTCTACCAGCATCATTAGCAATTCAGAACTGATTAATTATTGAAATCCTCACTATGGAGCAGAGTTTGGAGGAAGCAGCAACAACTGAGATCAGCCTAATGCAAGTTTCAGAGTTAATTATATATAATATATGTCAGTAGCTTTCATAATAAATTTAACATGTTTTAACACATTTTAATACACAAAAAGGTGTTCAAAGTTATTTCCTTCTTAGTTAAATCTGCTATGCATGCTATTAGTGCAGCTTAACGCTAGCATGCACAGCTAAATATTTATTTTTATAAGAATGCTTCTGAACAGCCAAGCAATGAAACACTGAACAAAAAAATTTCTGTATAGCTGAATTTTTAGTAGTTATTAATAGTGATGTTATTCCTTGATAAGAGACAAGGTGACAAAAACGAAAGATGTAGGAAGGCATTTTTCCCCATTCTCGTGCACAGTAGTGGCCATCAGACCACAGACCACTGAACACTGCATGCAAATAACTGAGGAGAGTGCATATCATTCAATCCCTTGTGATTACACTCTCAAGCCAAGTAAACTTTAGAGAAAAGGACTGTAATGCCTAGCATACCAAGTAGTAGTATCACCAGGTTTTTGCAGAGAGTGTATAAATAGCTGTGACATGATTTTACCCAAGAGAGAACTAATTCCAGAAGTCAACTGGATGACTTACTACAAATTTAAGCAGCACTGCTTTACACCATTTGTTCTGAATAGAGCACCAAATATGAAGCAACTGAAACAGCATGATATTATGAAGGTGATATCTAAACTTCTTTTGACCCGTATATGCATCTCACTTTAGACTGAGAACTGCAGGCCTTACAGCATTCATTTGCCATGGCAGAAAATACACCACCAAAAGCCACCAACTGTTAGACTGCTGCCTGTTTTTTAAAATGCATTTACTAAATTATTTCAGCCAGGGCTATCCAAAGCTGGTTAGGTAACAGAGTGGCTTAACTGGTTGCCTGGTAAGGAGAAAAAAATATATATATTAATTACCCCATAGCTGACATGCTGATTTCTATCAGGAGGCTGTCACATTATAAAAACATCATACTTTAGTAGACTTGGTGCCCGAAACATGCATCTTTATTCAAGATGCCATGTGAACGCAAGCTTAAAGGCTATCATGTGCTGAAGTCCCGACTCAATGAGACTTCCCTGTGCATGTTCTTGCTTGGGAAAACATTTAAGTTATTAACGCAAATATTAGCAGGTCTTTAGAGTGTTCTGAACGGAGAGGGCCTGGACTGGAACAAAGGATGTGGCAAGGTCAAGATAGAATTATACCAGAAAAGTATGGAAGAGTGAACATTTGCACTGTATGGATGTCTGTTATTTTCAATAACTCAGGAATAGCAAATCCATTCAAAAAGTAGAAAAAACAAGGCTTTCTAGAAAAAAAGGTCTCCTTGCTTTGGAATAATGTGGTTTTTCCCCTAGTCACTATGCAACCATTTAAAAAATTCAAACTTCATTAAGCTTTATCACACCATTTATAGACAGTATTCTTCATATTTCAGGAGTAGAAAAAGTCTCATTTGAGTTGCTGTATTACTGATCGATAATTCCTGTAAGATTAGTTTCTGCTTAGATCTCTTTACGCTGAGGCTAAATATTTCTTCAGGATTATAGTAGTCAGGCATGCCTAACATGGGATCTCTAAAAATTCTGAAATATACTTACGTGTTCACTTTGATTCAGACCTGATGCCACAATTGACATTTCTCTCCTGTTAGTCACAACTGGACTTGTAGCATTTTCTTTCCCAGCTGTATTGTGCAGAACAGACGTAGGAAAACAGACAGTTCTCTCATGCTTACATCCTTGAGTACAGCTTCCATTAGCTTTCTGAGCTACAGCAGAACTATTTGTTGCTTCTGCAGTTTGAGGGTGGAGAAGCCTTACAGAGGAGGAAGAGCTGTTTGGACTCCTGCTCACATTTCCACTGAGATTTGATAAGACAGATGCACTGTTTAGTTTGGTCCCAGATTTCTCATCAGCTGCATTTTCTGAAGGAAGAGAGGAATCACTCCTTGAAACAGTTTCATGTTACTCGTAGCCATTTTGCAAGGCTGTTGCTCCACCTTTTAAGTTTATATGCTGCAGTCATTTCCTCTGCTTATTTGTTTACAGCTTCACTTTTGCCTCTATCATAACTTTTTTCCTGATCGATAGCTGAGATACTAGAATGCCTGTGAAGCTCTGTTAGCAGCATTTCCTGCAAGAAGTACTGATTTATATGCGAGACAGACAGTAACTTCCATTACTGTCAAACTATTGTCTAACCCTGTCCTGTTGGGCAGCCATACATTTAAAAAGCAAGGCAATCAAACAAAAACAACCAAAGTAGCATCTTTTTAAATTGATTAGGAATACATAACTTCGCATGAAAAAAGTTGTATCTTGCTGGTATGTTAAACACATAAACAACATGGGAAAAAAAGAAAAAACAAAATTTGTATTAAATCCCTCTTAAATGTTACCTGGTTCAAGCTGACACTGACTACACTCTTGCAGGGTTTTCTTCTCTTGAGAAGCAGCTTTGTTCTTCAGAACACTGTCACGCTGAAGGCCTTTCTTTAGATCTGGTCTCTTTAACAAATAAGATTTAGGAGAGGGAAGCAATAGTACTGGAGACCTTGAGAGAAGGAAATTAGTTATCAACTTTTTTTTTTTTTTTAACCTCTTCTAAGCATCAGAAGAATATAGCAACAGCTAAGTTCATGTAATTTCTCAAAACCTGAGAGAAATTTGTTTCAACAATTTTTTTTTCTAGTGTATGACCATAAATAACAACAAAAAGCATCTACCTTTCTTCTAGCTCTTTGATTTTACTGTTGGAAGAATCACTCGACTTTACACGGAAATCATCAGGTGAAAATCCCTTTGAACTGCTGCATTTCTGATTTGCAAAATTTACTTCTGAGGTTGACTCTATCGCTTTAAAAAAGAAGAACAGTTCTTAAACAAGCAAAATAAAAGCAACTGTTCTTAACTGTTTCTTCAGATGAGAATACAAGCATTCTTTAAAATTTCAATGCAGATACACTTCAGAGAGGCTTTCAAGGAAAAGCAAGTATGCCAGATTACTTGATACACTGGAAAGGCATACACAACATTCACTCTCAGACTGACTCGAAAGGCATAATCTTCTACAACAGCTGCTTGCAGAAATGGACAAACGAGATAACATTTGGGGCAGAGGGGAAAAAAAGCACTGCAGCACCGACACAATTTACTAGCAAAAATGGTGAAACGAGATTAGTTTTTAAGCAATTATCAGTATTCTAATGACTTTACATTTTAGTCCTGATCATGAAAAATGCAACTATATTAATTTCTGACTACTGTAAAAGTTGTGTTCAAAACCATAAAAAACAAGTGTCCCCTTATCAAAATCTACATGAAATACTAAGCTACTTGAAACATGGCTAACAACTACAGTTTATTTCACTTATTAAATCATTTACAAAAGTAAGATGTCAGCTGATGTATTAGCTGGAAAAGAGTAGAATATCAAATAGGCCCAAGGCGAAATTATACTATTTAGTGCAGCTTATTTATGAATCTACCCAACACATTACCATATCTATGTTCACAAGCAGTAGAAAGGCAAATATTTAATAGCTGGAAGATGCTCCTAATTTTTAAACAAATCATCAATAACTGTAATCCTTTAAGCTGTTACAAGTCTGAAATCCATATTTTAGCGTAACAATGTAAACAAGCATTGTTTTAATTAAATTGTTTTAAGCAATTTTCCAGCCTGAAAGAAGCTAATCATTGATTTGATGACTTAATCCTCAAACAGTCTATTTATAGTATGAAATTGTTATGAATCTGGCTTTCGGGATTTAGAAATATCACAGGCATTTCAGTTTGCTCTATGAAATAACAGAATATTCCCAAACTGCAGTAAGGTTCAATGGCATGCAATTCAACAACCCTAATGAACTAAACCCAGATTATAACCAGTTTCCTAGTATTAAATATACCATTAAAGTTTTATCTTTTGGATATCTTCAGAAGTTAAGATAGAAGGACGAAAACACACTGCAACTGTTAAGTCAGTAACGCAAAATCAGAAGATGATCACAGAGAATTTCTTCCACAATAAATGGCCTTGCCTCCTGTCAGGAGGTATCAATGCAGCAGCCAGGGTAAGAAGGATGCCTTTGCCTCAGATTTTTGAATTAACTGAAGGAACTACCATGCACCTTTCAAGGGCTTAGCCTCTTCACCTTTTCTACCTTGGCTCCACCTTCTCCAAAACAGAGTTTCTCTATGTGGACTTCACTGTTCCCTAGATAGGCAGTTAGCACCTTATCACGTACAGCACCAAATCAGTGCTTTCTAATATGTTGTTAGTATTAGACCTCTGCCCTTATTCTGTCATCTCTCTTTTATCTTATGAACTCACCCAACCTTTCTTCAGCCTTGTGGCAATGAAGGCACAAATTCATAAAACAAATGCAAAAGAACATATACCGAAGCTTTTAGAACAGCACACAAGACTTAAATCACCGTACTAAAGAACAAGATGAAAGAGTGGAGATGCTTACTAACATAATTAGTAAACCTGAGTGTGCAAAATAAACTGACATATCTATTTGTTTAGTTTAGTAGTTAAGAAGCACTTGGTTATAGCTGTAAGAAAAAAACAGAAAAGAAATGCTATTAGCTAGTAGGAGCCCCTTTTAACTACAAGAACAGAATCCTTGTTTAAAAAAGGGGGGAAAAAAGTCTACAGATGGGGTTGACCTTATCTAACGACACAAAACCATTAAGAACCAAGCCATACAAATTCTAAAGTCAAGCCTCGATGTATAAAGAACTACATGGTAGAAACAAACCAGCAATTTAAAGATCTTTGTACTGAACAGGAACTGCATGTTACTGCATACTGCAAAAGGACTTTGGTCTTCACTGTCTCATAAATGATCTAACCTGATATATAGAAAAAATACACTGATGGAAACATATTTTATGCCACTACCATGGCAACAGAGCCCAATGCACAAGCTTCTTGGTGACAACAAAAACTAACTTATTAACATACAAACAGCAGAACCATTTCGACAGCTGCACCACGTTGGCTGACAATTTCGGTTTTTATTTTTTAAGGCTAAGGTTAAGTCTAAAGGTCTCATACATCACACTGCACAACGCCACCATCCAGGAGATCAACAGGAAACTACAGGTTGTTTTGTGATATTTGACTAACCCACACAGCAGTGATGAAAGCCCTTTGAATTTAGATAGAAAAGGCTCTGCAGCGGAAACCATACACAGTAAAAGCATGATAAGATACGAAATGGCTTTGAATTCCATGATGTTCAGTTATTCTAGTTGCCTTCAGCAAATAAAGATAACTGACTCAAACATGATCCTAAAACTAGAAACACATTTTTTAGCAGCAAGGTAGACAGTACAGAACTGGTGCAATCAATTTAAGAGTTCAATAAGCATTACGCGTTTGGACATCTTTACATCAGCAATGGGTACCTTTCTAGAACACTGATCCTAGTTCAGCAATGAACTTCCAGACTTACTGTAGGCTTTGTTCAAAGAACACTCTATGCTCTGTCACATATGACTTGTCAGACTAGTAATCTCAATGTTTCTTTCTCGCCTTAGCAATCAAAAACCTTAACTAAAACCCTCTCACCACTGCTTACGCAGCAGGGAGCAACTCACCCTATCCTCAGTGTGCAGTAAGCCTTTGGTGATTAAAGTATTCTTCAGCCTCTATATACTGCCTTAGGCACCTTCCAATCAGCAACTTCGTGTTCATGTCCTGTTCAGGGGATTTATGCCCCATTAAAACTTTTTCTCTTTTCTGCCTGTCAGCAGCCTAACCTATATTGTATTACTTTTGAATGCCAACACATACCTGAACTAATTTCTGTCTGGCCTTTGATATGCCAAAGGATAATTTCTACTAGAGCAATAGAAGGCCAAGTCCTTTTGGGAGTTCAGCCACTCTCCCAGCCCCTCACCCATTCCCTTGAAAGAAGATAGAGCAGAACTGGAGCTGATGGAATAGCAACATGGATTAGTACTGCCAAGCCACAAGGCCTACTCAAACCACTTATAAGATTTAACTGCATAATCTTACACAAATCTGGAACAGGGAAGTTTTTTAGGCTAAGTGTAGTGCGCAAGTCATAAATAAAAAAAGGTATGCCTCACTGAACAGCTGAATTTATGTAAAATTCTGCTCATGTATTACTTTAAATCAACACTGTAATTTGTGGTAAAGGAAAATAGGAACTAGGAATAGTCACATAGTTTTTAGTAAGAAAGCTAGAAAAAGTTTTCATTGCTATTTACCTCTTACTTGTCTTATCTGTTCCATTCCAAGTGTTCCTTCACTATTGGAATGTGGGAGTTCCTTACCTACCAGTAAAAATTCAGAGTCCTGACTTTCATGCTGGTTTAGCACTGCTTCAAGTACAGCCATTTCTTGTTGAAGTTTTTTTAAGTTCTTTTGCATAGCATTCTTCTGCTGCAAAAGATACAAGATTATGCCAACATTAGCTAGCTCATTTTTAAACCTTAGGATTACTTTCTGTAACAAATACTTGAGAATTATATACAGCAAAAAGATTTTGAATTAATTCTTTAACAAGCGTTTAAGAGGTCATTTTTACTGTAACGAACACATGATATGTCAAAAAAGAAATACATAGTCATCTTGCTGTTCAAATTATTTCAGTTTAGAGAATTTACTATAGTTCAGTCAATTACTGTCAGAGGAAAAAAACAAAAGGACGCGAGGGGAATGAACTTCTTCAGAAATTTCTTTCAAAGTCACTTTGTTCAATTGCATTAGCCAGTTAATGTAAAAAGGAATAGTGCGCATCAAGTATTGAGCCCCTGCACTTTCCACCATTACTGAAAGCCCTGAAGACCATTTAAATAAAACAAAGTATTTCATCCTACTCTCCTTAAATTTGTCTCTGATTCCTGAAAACTATAGTACCCTCTACTAAAAAACATGCCCTATACCTCCTCATAACAAGAGCTCAGGGCTTCCAAGTTTCCTTTTAAAAACCTAAAATGGTCACCATACTGAATAAAGCGGTTTCTACAGCACTGAACTACATTTCTAGCTCCAGCACTGACACCATGTGGAACTTCCTTGTTACTGAATCAATGCAAAAACAAACAACCCACCAAACAAAAAAAAAAATCCATAATGACATTATTCCATTCATCCCAGACAAGTCCTAGGATTTCTATCAATTAAGGTACATCAGGCAGCAATGATCTGCAAATTGACCACATTTTGCACTGATGCAGTACAGAATAACCACCCATAAAGGAGCAAGAGGTAGTTCAATCTTCTCTGAAATGCATAAAACCCCATCAGAATATAAATTGTGAAGAGAGATTTAGGATAAGATTTACCTGTACATTCTGGAAGACCAAAAATCCATCAGCTAATATATAAAGTCAGGCCACTGAATAAGCCATCAGGAAATTAATACCATAGACAAGATATCGTGCTAGACAGAACTTCCATCGGACACCACTTGTTAGGTCTTATATCTATAATTTTCTAATACAGAATGGTTTGATTCAGTCACTTAGAAGGTACGACTCCGTACTTTTAAACATAACAATGCTGGAAATCCAGTCCTTATAACAAATAGTTATAAATTCCCATCAATTAAGCCTATAAATATAGGTACATTAAGTACTTTTAAAATTTTGTGCATCAACTCACTTACCTGTGTAGTAAGGATTTCACCCTGAGAGAATGGCCCAGATGAATCCTCTACGTGACTTGTTTCACTATCATATCCAGATGCTTCACCTTGAAGGAGGCAGAAGAAAATCTGAAAGTTAGTTAAATAAAGGAAAAAAAAACCAAACAAGCATTACCAAGTTTCTCTTACCACACAGCCCTTTTAGCCAACTGTTAGCTATAAAAACAAAATTTCAAAAGTTGCAGTAACACTTAAGTTAGAAGCATAGATCTACCTCAAGAGAACGTTTTAAAAAACACGTCACACACATGACCAAGTAAATGGAACTCAAGGCAAGTGTTTCAACAGTGATGAAATCAGAGTCCTAACAATTTATGAGAGTCATAAGTTTGAAATAAGCACTATGAATTCTACAGCCAAAGATATTTCAAAAACACATAATCTGGGAAAACAGCGTTAGTAGGCTCTATAAAACTTTGTTGATAGACCTAGAGATGACATTGCAATAAGAAAGCCAGCCTTTCACTCAACTTCTATCAGACAGGCTGTCTGGTGCCCCATCTATTCATTTTTGCTCTGAACAAAAAATACTAGGAAAACTTAACTTTTAGGAAAAATTACTAAGGGGTTTTGTTTAGAGCAGATACATTTCTTTACAAGAGCAAGCTCCATATAAAAGGAGAACAAAGTTCTCATGTAAGCACCAAGCCCTTTGGTGCCATGACATTACAAACACAGCAGCAGACATAAAAAAATCTTGTTTTGTACCTAGGTTTGCTCCTATGTTTGGGTCTTCGTGGTATTCATCTTGCAAGTTAGTTTTTCTTTTCTTCAGCCCTCTATTACAACTTTGAAAAGTTTCTTTACTTTCATTCTGATTGCTCATTTGTTTGGATGCAAGAATTGGTATTAAAGGTTTCTTCAGTTCCTGTGCTCCATCAACTGACTCTTCAGACATGTTGGACTGGGAAGAAAATAAATTAACAGAACATTCTGACTCCTGGCTTGGAGAAACACACCCAGTATTTAGAGCAGCTTCAGGCGTTTTCTGCATGCTACGGTCATTATGACTTCCACTGTGAGGCAATGTGCAGGGATTTACTGAAGACCCTACCATAGATGTCACCTGTTTATTGAACTGCAAAGGAGTGCTGCTTGCTGGTTTGCCAAATATTAACGTCTGAAAACATGGTAAATTTTCATCCTCACTAGATTCTTCCTCTGAAGATTGCAGTTTCCGCACTCTTCTTCGAGATCTCCGAATATCTTGAGATATAGGCGTAGAATTAGCACTTCTACCATCCAGTTCTTTTACCAGGGCACTGTCACTTCTTTTAACGAACACAGCAGATCTCTCTTTCCTATCAGTTTCACAAAAGCTGGGGTTCTCTTCAATATCATCATCAGAGCACAGTAAGCCATCAGGGGTTTCAGACAGCCCTGGAAAATCAGTACTGCCTTTAAGAGACTGTTCTAGAGCCTCTGAAATTAAACACTCAGGCATCCCTGTGCTGACAGTTTGGGTTGTTTGTTCTTCGTTGCTCTTTGCTCGTTGTCTTTCTCTTGTGCTATTTTTCTTTTGCTTGACTTTGCAGTTAAATTCAGGAGGATTTTGCTGACAAACTGTAGGACAAACCATTGATGTGGGCTGAAAATGTAATATTGGTCCTTTGCCTTCATCAACTTCAGCCTTTTCCGCTTGATTACTTTCTGAACTGGAGCCTATTTCATTACCTGTGTTTATTCTTTGGAAAACACGCTCTTCTATACTACTCTGATCACTTTGGCTTCTATTACTTTTGAATGGATTCTGACTTAGCTCACTTTCTATCACTATGTCAGCTGATACTGTCTTATCATTTGCCTGCTCTCTTTTTTGCTGTTGGTTTTTATTCTCAACCCCAGTAGCACCTATTCCTCTTGGTGATGTCAGATTCCCTCGATCTGCAACCTGTGAAACGTTTTCTTGATGTTCCCCGGTGTGCACACGTTCAGTGTTACTGATAAAGCAAGACACAGGGCTAACACAAGCAGATTCACAGGCCTTAAGCTTTTCTTTCTCACAAAACCTACTCAAATATTCAGAATTTGTTTTCTCTCCTTGCAAGTTTTCAGTTTTTAAACATTTGCTATGCTTATCTTCTACATGATCAGCACATGACATCTTTAAGGTTTCAGAAGCAGCATCTTCTACTACACGTGCCTTCATGGGACTAGGATAAAGGGTAAATGATAGTCGTTTTGAATGCCTAAATATATTTCGCAGATACTGTGTGTCTAATTCACTATCTTCAGCTTCCTTGGTGAGTTCCAAAACATTTTTAGACACTGGGGACTTTTCATTTCTAAAGTCCTCTGGAACATTTTTTGTATGATGTCCGTTGTTCTTGGGAAAAGTAGTACATGATTCAGTTGTCTTCTCTTTGGTCACTCGAGAAGCAGTTTGCACAACATTCACTGAAGGAGGCTGAAGGAGGAAAGGGCTACCTAGCATTTCACTTTCTTGAGAGGTACAACAACTATCAGGTACAACAGAACCAAAATTTGAATGCTGACATGAAGATGTAGGATTGAAGAGACTTTTTCCAGTGTCTGCAGTGTCAGATGAATTCTTTAGACTAACCTGCATTTCATCAGCTTCCAGATCAGCACTCTTCAGATTAGTGGCTGGCCTATAACTCAGTATATCCTGCTGCTCACCCAGGTCTTTGCATTCAGAAGTATGAACCAACACATTCCTTTGCACTCCTGAGAAAGACCCTCCACTTCCACTGTCATATTTTCTTGCTCCTTCAGTTAGTACACTTCTTTTTCCTGTTTCTTTTGTCATTTCTTCAGCAAGTAACTGAAGCCTTCTGCTGCGCCTGACTTGTCTGCGCTCAGAATCAACTTTTCTTGGCTCTTCACTGCTTGGATAGCTATCAATCTGTGGCTCAGCTGGATCAGGGGAGCCTGAGTTTCTACCCACTACTAACTGTAGAGCATGCATAGTTCTAGTTGAATGTCTGCATCTTTTTGCTAAAGAACTTGGTTTTTTAGTGCTCTTCTGATCACAGTTATTCGGTTCTAGCACTCCATCAGATTTGCCAGGCACCTCTTCAGGAGCATTTTTCCATATGGACTCTCCTTCCCCAAGTTCTGCTAGGGTATTATCCTCCCTTTCCTCAGTCACAGAACTCTCATTAACAGCAGAACTCTCATCATGTTTTTTCTTTTCAGCCTCTCCAAGGCACCAGTTAACACTCTGAGGGCACCCATCTGCCTCTTCCAGATCTTTTTTCTTGATGAAGTCCTCAGGTTGCAGGACACAGGCAGTCTTCCTTTTTTGTTTTAGTTTATCCATTCTGGAATTATTCAAGCACTTTTCATCAGCGGCCACATCTTCACTTTTTGCAGTAGGTAAAATCTCTCTCAAGATAATAGGGGGATTTGACTTCCTCTCTCTCTTGTATGTTTTTCCAAATATTTTGTCTTTGATGCTATCTGCTGTTGGTCTTGATGATTTCTTGGTTTTTTCAACAACTGCAATTTCCATGCAATTTACCATAAGGTTAGTCTTCTCTGAAATACAGGAATCGTTATCTGATAAGCGCACATCTCCTTCACCTGAAGTATCAGTTGCTTCAGCGGGATCATCCTGGGAAGAATTGGAAGATAGAATCTCATTGCTTTTTGAAAACCATTCATTGACTTTCTGAATGCTTCGCTTCAGTCTCTTCCTAGAAACTTGATTCAGGGCATCACTGTGAAGTGTCTCTGGCTTCTCCAGAGGAGGTTCTTCTTCAGGAAAAGAATCGTTCTCAGGTTCACACATTTCCACATCTTCCACACATTGCATAACAGTATGTATTTGCTTGCTTTTGTCCAACTTGCTCTCTGAGCTATCTTCCAACTTAAACTCTTTGCTTTTACTATTGCACTGAGTTTGCTCTGCATCCATTTCTTCTGCGTTTTCAAAGAAAGTTGTATCCTCTTTCCTTAAGGGGCTGGCATTGCCCACTGTGTCACACTGCTCTGCGAGTAAATCTGCAGCAAGAACATTTAAAGGAGAACTCTGGCATTCAGTCACGTTTACTTGGCCAGGTTTGGCATGTTCAGCGATGTTCTGAGTGCTTTTCTTGCTCAAACCTTCCTTTAAGGAATCACTTTCACCTAAAGATGCAAAATTATTGTAAATTATTAAGCCCGATTTTAATGTACACAAGAAAAATGACAAGCTTAACAGCTTCTATTTTGTTTTAAAGAACCGTTCTTGTTATTGTCATCCTACCCCCAAAACATAGAATATTACACTGCACGCACAGTTCTCCCTCTAGAGAAAAGAAGAAAGATCAAATTACATACAACATACATTCAACCAACTCCTTACATGAAGGACCAGACAGTGGTCACAAACACATATTATGAGGGACAATGTATTGGCCTAAGTAGGATAGAATTAGTTTTGCACTTTAATCAAGTTAATTTTTTTTCTTCAGTTTCTGTGCACAAAATGTCCACATTTTAAGTGCCTCGTGTACAGGCATAGCCTCATACTATATTGTCGCTAGCTGTAGGCATCAATAAAACTACAAGATATAGGCCTGCAAAATAACGTGAAATCAAGATATTAACTTATGATCTTTCTTTCCAGTTTTCCTCTTGATCATTTTGTCACAGAAATAATGAACACACCTATGACATTTGGTAGAATTATTTCTTTGGCACCCAGCTTGACAGGCTGTATATTGCAAGAACATTCATTCCCCTTCTCAGAACTCTTAAGTTCTTCTAGCTTTTCTTGAGATGAAAACTGAAGCACGTCTTTGTCTCCTAACCTGCTGGGAAGGATTGTGAAGAAAGATCTAATTGCATTAAAAGGCCTACCACAATCTGACATAATAGGAGATAATAGTTAATTTTCCCTTTTTGCTCTTGGAACTAGGTTGCAGAGAAACCAGATTGCTGAGTACAGACAATCATGCAGAACTGCACTTGCCACACCAGCTTCCCTCAGAGTTTCAGATCATTTCTTTAAAGGATCCCCCCACACTGTCCTGAATTTAGTGTTTATTTTCTAAAGCATACCGAGTATTTTTTTCCTCTAGATGCTCTAACATCTATGCAAGTGACAGAACATTTAGAAAATAGCTTTGAAGCATGTCATGTGACAAACTGAGGGGAGCCAGCTGCCCATTCTACCCTAATACACTCAAAGTTAAAAACCATTTGAGAGCTTGGAGAATTGTGTCAGTCCTATGCTAAGAAACTAAAGCATAAGAACCAGAATCCTGAACTGCTGTCTTTAGAAAGAGTGAATTGCTTAATCACCCTTACTTACCCAGTATTGCTTGCCTGTTTGAAAAGATCTTCAGATGAATCCGAGCCTAAAAACAAATCAGCTGTTAGTCTGGTTGAAAAGATTTGAGATAAATGACTTGTCAGATTCAAAGTTTATTATCACAGGAGCATGTATGCTTAGTTTTTTCTAGGTGCAGATGCTTTCAACTTTTATCACGTGAAATCCAGTTCGGTACTGGTGATTGGGCAGAACACCAGCACAGTATTTTACCTAATTACAGTGAATTCTATTTATAAGCATCATATGGCTCCAGCATAAAATGCTTTCTTTTCCAGGTGCAGACGTTTTTAATACAGTGACTGGTAACACAGAAAACTAAGAATTAATCTCTAGTTTCCTAATTTATACAGAAAACTGTTGCTAGTATTTAGCATATAGAACTGACAATCAGAGTAATAGATTGGATGCTCTGTCTCAGATCCTTTGATTGATCTTGGTAGAAGCAAGAAGGAAAAAACGATGCCATATATATTATCTGTAAAAAGGAGCAATACCTTCCTTGAAGGAAGGGGGAGACCAAACTAAACATAGCACCTATCCTGTTTCAAGCACCACATATAGTCCACACCAAATACAGAAAAGCCAAGGTAGACAGAAATGAAATATTCTTTTCTCATTCTCCATTAGATCTCTTTCTTATCTCTGGTTATTAAATGGAGTCTCAAGCCCTGGTGAACAAAGCTTAATATTCTTTAGAAAACACTGGTTATCATTAGTTATAACAACTATAACTATTTTCATATCTGTAAGTATCTTCTCTTTTTTGAGTCTTGTACATTGACACTTAAACATTCCCTATGGCAAAGTGTTACACAGTGTAATAAACTCTGTAACACCAGAATTTGAATTGTCCATGTATTTGTCCCTTTGTTCTAATTTTGGGAGTTCAGAAGAAATTAGTGTTTATAAAAGCTTTGAACTTCATCACCTTTCATTACTTTCCAAGCACTACAGAAAAGCTCAGTTGAGGTATATCCACATCAGCTCTTACCAAACTCTATGTATATCCCTGTATCAGAGGAACATTTCTGGTTTTTGTTTCTCAAGGGACACCTTTTGACTCTGGTATCTGTAAGTTGTGTATCCGCATTAGCTTCCTGCCAGCAGAAGAATACAAAAGAATAGTTTATAGCCATTATATATCTATATCTATATCCACACACGCACGCCTTATAACTAATACATAACAATATATTGTAATGTAATATAATATATATTATATATATGGGAGGGTGCAAAGAGGACAGTGACAGGAGGAGAGGCAATGGGCACAAATTGAAACACAGGAAATTCCACCTGAACATAAGAAAACAATTCTTTACTGTGAGAGTGGTTGAACTCTGGAACAGGCTGCCCAGAGAGGTTATGAAATCTCCATCCTCAGGGATATTGAAAACCCAACTGGACAAGTCCTAGGCAGCCTGCTCTAGCTGCCACTGCTTGAGCAGCGGTGTTGGATCTGATGATATCCAGAAGTCCCTTCCAACCCCAACTATTCTGTGATTCTGTGATAACAGCAGGTTAATTCCAAAAATAAGGTGTTATTATTTAATCTACAGCAGGATGATATGTTTGGGCTAAAGGACCACATTTAACTTGGCAGCCTCTGTACAAAAATCCAATACATGCAATTTATTCTACTGATATCAGTAAGAGAATACGTTAATTGAAACAGTTTGCATGCATGCGTTTAACAGCTCAAGTCATTTTCATTAATGGTTTTATCATATTTAACATTCAATTCACAGCCAGAAGACGAGACAAGAAGGTTTAACAATGCACCGTGAACCACTAACCACTAATACACAAAGCAATCACCCTCCGTTGGGAAATGTCTTCAGAAATTGTAAGACCTATATTCATGGTCTTACCATTAAAAAAAAAAAAAAAGAAAAAAGAAAGGCTCTACCATTGCTTAGACTAGAAAGCGTTTAACTTTGCTAATAAAAAAAGGAAAGTTCTAAAACTTCTTAAATTGCACAGAATGAGCAATGGCACTCAGGTAGAAAAAGCAAACAATTTCATTGGAATATCAAATGCCAGACATATAAAAATATAGCTTTTCTGTTTATTTCTGCATTTTATTCTCAAGCTTCTAAAAGGATGTTATATTTCCAAAGGATATTATAATTTTCATGAACTTTGTTTTTAATAGGGTTTTTTTAAAAAGGGGAATAATATATATATATATATTTATATATGTTACCTTGTTATTACTTATTTGACTGCCTCTTTAAACAAATAGTAAAGAAAAACCTTTTAACCCTACTTCAGTAAGAGAATATATTATGGTAACATTATCTTGTCACTATTTTTTTTTTTTTTAATTTAAGTCATTTAATGTGAACAACTTTTTAAAGTAGGTTTCCAAAAGGAGTACAAGATATTCAGATGTCTCTGTCCAGGAATAAAACTAAAGTCAAATAGTGATCTGAAAGGAAGCCAAAAGAGAATCTCCTATTTCATTAATTTATTTATATATATTTATATACATTCCAAATAAAACACTAAGCAATACACACAAAAAAAACTGAGTAAATGATTACCAAGGTGCAATTTTCTTGTCCATTTTCTTTAGCTTTTTTTTTCCTGTTTCTGAAACCCTTACTTTGGATAATAGAACTTTCTTTACACAGGAGCTCAGCAGCATTAGCTTCTATGGATGTTTTAGGAAACTGATGACTGTTTAGAACTGAAAAATGACAGTAAAAAAAAAAATACAGAAATATTTTCTTACTCTTAGCATGACAACAGGTATTATATATTCATAAAATCGCCTTGTATAAAACCTATGTAACTAGCACATATGCAGCTAAAATAGTATCACAGAAATCCTGAAATAAGCTTGGCTAAGTTATGATTATGTATTGATCTATATTATTGATCATATTACCAAGATTATTATTACACTAATGAAACAGTAAAGATTCCAGGTTTTTTTAGAAATTGTTTATAAGTTGCCTTGAAATATTAAGTAAAATCCTGATCTTGCTAACTGACTTTCCCAACCCTTTTTGCTTATATGGACAATCTGGCAGGAACAGGATCTAATACTAAGATTTTAGAATGACTGAACGAGTTGAAAAAAAATTTGAAAAATTTTTCAAAAAGCCTTCCAAAAACTGAAGAAAAGCTACTTTTTATAGCACAATATCCTCCTTGCTATGAAAAACAACAAACTTTTTTTCCAAAATACAAACAAACATGTGCCTGACTTGCCAATAAATGTATACAAAGCGCTGAATATTAGAAAGGATAAATATGCATCCCAAAAGAATATATAGAGAGAGGACAAGTTAATACATGCTATTATAATACTTCCTAATTGAGGCTCTCTACATCTGTAATTTTTTAAACATTAAAGCTGCAAGATTGGGTGCAGTAGCAAATCAAGAGTAGATCTTTGCCACACAATTACAGATTATCTGCTACACATTCAGCCATATTTCAGGCACTGAAAATAAGATCAGAGGCTAGAGTCATCAAATGCACAGAAAAAAACTCTTAAGAAAGCTCAAGATGCTATTTGTAGGAACACTTAGGGAACTTATGCTTCCAAATCCAATAAACACTTCAGGTATTTCCTCCCTAATGGCATTATGCATAATGAGTAAGATATCAGCAAATAATTATGATACAAATGCCAAAATCTTATTTCAAGAAGGAGCCTACATTCAAATAATACTTACACTTCACTCCTGTGTCAAGCTCAAAAGCATAGATAGTTTCCAACAGTCCTTCAATTAGTTGCTTAAATCTGGAATTTTCCTGAAGACTTCTGAAATAACACCACCACATAAGGTGTTTCTAAGACAAATCTATGCATAAGCTACTAATAGTTCTCCTACATTTAGACTAAACAAAAAAGGAGTATAACTGCAAAGGAGAAGATAATGCAATTAAAAATTGTTGTCAAGGAATATCAATACAATTCCCCCAAACAGCTATTACTACTGGAATTAAAACATTATCAACATAAAATGAAAATTTCCTAATATTTTTCCTCACGTAGCTTTAGCACAGAGGAACTCATTGTAATGGTTGAACAACAATACAGTCTACACTTGACAGCACAAACATTTGCTAAGAAAGGCGACTCTATCTGTGAAAATTCAAAAAATTTTCTGTTGAGGTAAGACACTAAAGAGTTTTAAACATGTAAACATTTTGTTTGATAATCCCCCTTTGTTTTATTTTCCAGCTAAGATAATTTTAAGACAATGAATCATCTTTTCCTTAGACGTCACACAGATTCTTCTCATCCCCAAGCCCACTTCCAAAGATGCATTACCTTTTGGTAACTTCAGTCTTGCACAGAGGACACTGTATCACACCTTTTTTCTTTTTGCTGAGGAGTTTAAACATACAGAACCTAAGAAAAAAGAATAATCACAATGGTAATTTAACTGGAAGGATTTTATTTTCTTTAAAGTTGTGCCTGTGAGTATACCACTTAGTATAAATCCTTCATTATCAAACTGAACGCTTGTATTCTTGTTCTGGTGTTCAGATGAATTTGTCAATTCCCTTCTGACACAGCCAGGAAATTGCAGTTATTTCTTATTCAGAATAGATCTTTCCCCTTTAAAGGGATAGAAATTGATGGATCAAAACACACTGTACTTCAGCAGCAGCAAAAAAAGAGGTATACATGGAGAATAAAATGAAGCATTGCTGTTAGAAGTCTGCAAACCTACCTGCAGAATATGTGATCACATTTTGTGGAAACTGGCTCTTTTATCACATCCAAGCTACCAAAAGAAAAAGGGAGAAGGAAAACAAGAACACCAAAGTTACGTTTAAAAAAGTAGTAACAAAATTAGATTAGAAATACAGTCACTTTGTTGAATGGGGGGGGGAGAAAAACACAGTGGGCAAGAGAGGTAGGACACGTTTGACAATTTCAACTTGAGAACCAGGCATAGTAACAAAATTTGTCATTATATGACCTATTATAGTACTCTTCAACCTTTTGTTCCTCTGGCAAAAAGACAGCGTTTTCTGGAGATGCCAGTTCAGCAAGGCAGGGGACTGGCTGTTGGAACTCCCCACAGGTTAGGCTTCCTTTTGAACACCTCTCCTAGCAACAGCAAAGGGCAGCATAGCTCAGGATCCCACTGGCCACTTTGGGATGCAGGTATAAACCATATGCATAGATATGTTGACATAGCGTGTATTTAGATTATTCTTTCTTATTCTGTTTTTCTATTCTAAAGCCCTTCCTGTCTACATTGGTGAACATTAACATTCAACCTGATGTTAAGGCTCCAAAAAAAAGCTCTAAACACTTGCTCAACTCATCTTAAAATATAACTTACCTTGAACCCATATTAAAAAAGAAATCCTTCTTTTAAAACACTGCCCTATATCTAGACTTACACTCTGCTACAAACCATAATTGCACAAGAAAGTTCTCACGAGTTTCATAGACTCCATATGTACATGAGAAAGACAGAACTCACAATCACAGGAAGGCTAGCAATGAGTAGTATGTTAAGAAAAAGAAAAATGAAAAAAAAACTATGGCCAAAATAAATATAACACTATTATTGCAGAACAGTCTAACTAATAATTGCTCATAGAAAAATATACACCAACAAGAGCCAAAAGCAGCTCCAACATTACTCATGCCTACATTATTCATTCCCCAATCTCCTTCATGCACTTTTTGGATGTTTTAATAATTAAATTTGCTATAATAGAAAAGGAAGAATATACCTTTATATCTTAATATCACATGGAAATAAAGCAAAACAGGCTCAACCTCTGCAATATTCAGTCTTTTGTCTGATTTAGAATTGGAACAACACTGCTAAGTGCTTTAAAATCCTGTTTTTTGAACTGCCATTCACAACATCTGTCTTGCTGTTTAAGCTAAAGTATGCTCTTCATTTTTCATTTAAAACAATAAAATCTGTAGACTTTGAAAATCTCCATTCTGTGCTGAATTCAGCTTCATCCCATCAGTCCGCAGTACCAGACTTCATAAAATCACTTTTCAAGACATTTTGCTGTCCCAGCAATTTTCACATGCAACAAAGAACAACCGATGCAGGAAACAGTTTCTATTCTAGCTCCTGTAACATTGTCTATAAAGTCAGTAACTAAAGGAATAATCCAAAGGCAACCCTTCAGCAAAAACACTGTGATGCCTCTTCAGTAAGGATATAATTTGGAGATATATATATATAGACATACATACATTTATCTTAGTAAATCTATAAACATTGTACATTTTCTACTCCGTGGCATTGTGATAGATATTATCACCAACACAGAAATTATTTCGGTTTACAAAAGCAGTAAGGGAAAGTATTTTGAAATAGATTTAAAAAGAAAGTATTTAACAGCATTTGCCACCATAGACAAAATAAATTGGAGTAGTTTGGTTCAAGGGAAGGAAGAGCCTTTTAAAAGCTTATCAGACATTCTAAATATCGAGGCTTTTACCTAGAACCTATGCTATTTCAGCATTCTGTTTGTATTAAGGGACTTTGGACCTCATTTATGCTGTAGAGGCAAAAGGCACAGATCCTGGCTGCTTCGCAAACAGTATTCTGATCCAATCAGCTGTAGGTTTATTTTCCCCCAACTGGACAGACAAATATTTTTAGATTATAACAATAAAAGCAGTATTTACTAGAACGGAAGAACGAAATGCAGGTTCTGAACTCTTTGAAGGTGTCTGTGCTTTTGCACTTGAACCTTAGAAAGCATCAGGATACTTGCTCTTAAAACGTTATGCGTTACGCTTTCTGATGGCAGATAGAACTGACAACACATGAGAACGGAAAGGAAGAAACAATCAGAGACTTAAAAAAAAAAAGGGGGGGGGGAAGACTTGTTGACTATCCCAAACCCAAGCTGCCGCCCCCCCCGCCCGTACCAG